CTGTCAGGAATGGCAAAATCAAAGGGGTTGTCAGGCCACAAAAGAAACATTCAGTTTAGTGCATGCAGGCCTGCTCAACGGCAGTAGTCTTCAACTGGTGAATCCTAATCTGTCCAAAAGTAGACCACACTCAACACATCCTACCATATCCCTTTTAATAATTAAGAGGCGAGAAAGAGAAGAAAAAGAGGAGGGAAATGAGGAAGATCCTCAAGGAAGATCCTTTCCAGACTTTTTTTCTCTCCTCTTCCTCAGAACTTGGCCTGGGCGGAGTCACCTGAAAGGTTCAGTGTGGTAGAACCAGCCCAGTCCAGATTTGTTTCCAGTCTTATGAAATTGTTTCGAAATTTGCAATTTTTTCTTTTCTTTTTGTGAGCCGCTTCAGAGCACTCTGGAAAGAAAAGCAGCCTAGCATACTTAAATGAATGAATAAATGGTGAGGACAAAGACAGGAAAGGATAAAGAAAAGTGAATAAATAAAAGCAGGAAGAACAGGACACGAAGAAAAAAGGCTGACAAATGTGGTAAAAAAAATCAAAGATTGTCCCATCTATATTCAGTTGAAGGTGGAGTGAAGCTAGGCCTTAAAATCTGAAGAATAATGCTTTAGAAAGGAACAAAGTTTGAGAGTCCAGTGCAATGCTCCCTCTAAGCTGTGGAGTCTTGGGAGCAAAAATCTTACTTTGTGAGCTACTGGCATTAAAGTTGGGAGCGAGCGATTCGGCTACTGCATAAATTAGTTTGCTCTGGAGCCATCATTCCTGAGCCAAGACAAAAAATGTGTGAGCCGGAGGCTAAAAAACTGTGAGCTGGCTCACACTAACTCAGCTTAGAGGGCACACTGGTCCAGTGCCACCTTTAAGACCAACAAAGCTTTATTCAAGCTTTCGTGTGCAAGCACACTTCTTCAGACTTCTCCTTTAGAAAGGAGTTCAACTACTTATAATTACATTTTTCCCTTTGAATACAATGTCAGACACTGAATCCTATTTAATCAGTTCAGCAGAATGTACCCAAAGTATTTGTCTTCAAAATGTTCATGTAATCTAAAGTCCTCTAAGAATGCAGGAGCTGAAGGCGTAGTGCAGCAGTGGCAGTGGGAACGCAGCAAAGCACACGGATCAGAGTGGATGGAACTTGCTGAGGGATACAGGCAAGACTACGAGGGTTGCCAGGTCTTACCTGGCTGCCGGTGGGGGGCTCCCTTTTTGCCCCCTGTAGTTTTCGGCGCATGCATGCAAAGCACATGCACCACAATGACATCACACACACAGAAGGGTCATCATCGTGCAGGGCATGTTGGGGGGAAACTCTATTGTTTGGGGGAAAACTCTATGGTAGCCATAGAATTTTTACTCAAATGATAGAGCACCACCCTGCAATGTGCCCTGCACGACAGCGTTACCTCTGGATGATGTCATTGCGCTGGGCACGTTGGCGCAGACGGGGCTCTTTGGGGGCGGGGTTCCCTCTGCTGGCCAGATTGGGTTTTATTATTAGTAGAGCACGAACATTAATAATTTTTGCATCGATTATGTTTGCTAATAACATTCAACGGAATTCTGCATCAAGAATACGATAGCAATTTCCCAATTACTTGGGTTCTATGAAAGAATTCAGATTCGATTTTAAATGAAAATTAGATGTTATATAGCATTCACATTGTTTCCCCCACAGAAAAAAAATTAATTTCCCCCAAAATAGGACAGATTTTTAAAAATGCAATACATTGTTTCAGGACAACTTCTATAACTCTTTCATATGCCAGTTACATGGATGGCCCACCAGTGTTTGCAAAGTGTGACAACATTTTGCTTACTCATTTAAAATATATTACCTCACCTTTGGACAATAATCTTCAAGAGGGCTCACAAATGAACTAACAAAATAAAGAAATATATAAATCCCACAGATAAAACATTAAACCAGAAAACACCGCAATACAGAAAACAAAATCAAATCCCACTAAATCCTTGGAAAAAATGAAAAGACATTACTAGTGTGCCAATGCTAACAATATAGATGTCTGGCAAACCGATCAAGGATATTAGTTCCACAACTGAGGCACCACCACAGAGGAAGCCTTCTGTTTGATATGCATCACCCTGCTTCTAAAAGAGGTGCACACACAGCACAACTTCCACTGAAGAGCTTAAGGTTGTATGGGAATAGGCCGTCCTTTAAATTTCCCAGTCCTAGGTAATTTAGGATAATGGACTTCATCCTTTCCAGGCCCAGGACAAAATGAGTTGCAAGTTTCAGAGTCATGGCATGTGGCTTACAAAGAAAATAAAAACAAACAAAAAGAAAAGTTGTTATGGCCTTACCAGTGTCAAGGCTAAGTCTATGGGCTCATATCAAGAAAGCTGGGGCAGAAAACACCAGCATTTTTTAACCCGTTCACTGTTTCTATCTTGTCAATGGACTATTATGTTCTTGTTATCAGTTACTTAGTTGGCCAATTTGGTATAAGGAGATAAGGGGGGGTGTAAATGTTTTAAATAAATACCACAGTGGGGGGAAAGCCAAGGTCAGAGAGCCATCGAGGATTCCCCTCATTGCTGTCTTCCCACACTATGTTTCTTAGTGTACATGCAAAGAAGCAGGGCACCCCTGATCTCAACACATGCTCATTAGGAGCAGGTCCTTCCAAAAGTTGTACAAAAATGGCAGCTTTATAGAGGCTGATGACCAAGTGAGGGGAGGGGAGGGGGGCTCTGAGAACTACCTGAGAGTCCTCCTGATCCACTGATTGAAGACCTTTATTGGTCAAAACCAGCAATATGAATTTTGCCCAGAAACAAATTGGCATCCAGTGACATTCTCTAATCACAGATGAAATACTCTCATTTCTACCCATCCCAGTTAACAGCACACCTGTTGTATTGTAGCTGACTCAAAGTCTCAGACGCTCATGAACGTAAGATAGCCAGAGACTGAGTTCCATTATCACAATCATATTGAGAGCAGGTGCCCTATAACGTAAGTAAAGGCATCTGGATCGGAGGAAGATACTAGCATATTTTCGTTCCAAGCAAAGGAAGCAGCCGATAGGCAACATTTTCTACTTCATTTCCAGCTGCCTTAAGTGATTAGAAGCAGTGCTCTGATGTTTTGCTGGGTCAAGAAGTCAACAACAGGAGGCGTGTATGGGACAACAGGTTGGTTTTTTTTTAATGGTTATCTGTAACAAAGATCCAGGTCAGTTGATTAGAACTGAAACTTATTATGTGCGTTTAAGAGTGCAAGGTGAGGATGAATTATTGAAACACTGATAAAATTATTTTCCATTGTGCTTACTACTGATTTACATGACAAAGATTTACATGCCACATTTCAGGCTCTAGGATATGCTTGCTATGTGGGGTTGCCAGGTTCTCTTGCCGTGCTGCTGGGGGGATTTGGGGGGGGGCATTCTAGGACATCCCCAACATGATGACATCATCTGGAAGTGACATCATTGTGATGGTGATGCTCTGGTTTGAGGGCAAAACTCTATGGTTATAGGCCAAATTTACCATAGAGTTTTGCCCTCAAACCAGAGCATCTTGTGCGATGTCCCCGATGTGATGATGTCACTTCTGGGTGACATAATTGCATTGGGGATATTGTCATGTAAATCACCATCACTCTCCATTCTGTGTGCTGGTAGGGAACAGGAGACAGCCATACTTATATATTTATACCACCACAGGGCCTTTATCTACCAAGCTCTGTTTTTGCAGCATACTTGAAATAATGGCTAAAGTAACCCTGTACACCACTGCTGGCTTTACTGCTCAGTATTTTCTTTTTTAAAAAGTTGATCATTCTGAAAATCAGTAGTAAGCACAATGGAAAATAATTTTATCAGTATTTCCTCACTTTGCACTCTTAAACGCACGTAATAAGTTTCAGTTCTACACAACTGATCATGACCATAAGATGGCTGCTGGTTGCATTTAGCTATTTGGGTTTGTTAAGTTGCTAAATGAAAGCTAATGCACTGTAATGTGATGGGGGAGATGTGCTGTTCTCAGAGAGACTTCGGAGATTATCCCAAGGCACAATGCATTTCTGGTTGAACACATGAAGTCACCTTATACCGCATCAGGCCATTGGTCTGTCAAGGTCAGTATCATCTACTCTGCCTGGAAGCAGCTGTCCAGGGTCTTGGGCTAGATGTCTTTCTCATCAAGTACTACTTGATCTTTTTAGATAGAGTTGCCAGTGATTATACCTGGGACTTTCTGCATGCACAGCAGATATTCCACCACTAACCCTCTCCGTTGTCCCTTCCCATTGTTATGGTTCTTCGATAACAATGTCACACCCAAAACATAGCCTCTGTATCTTGCAAACCTTTGCAGGTGTTGAGTTTCTGAATTTCCCAGAAAAGGTAGAGATTGTAAATCGGGGCACAACATTACATAGAAGAACAGGTATCATGAGTCACTGGTCCATCCTATTTCTTGTACAGCTGGACGATGTCTGAAGTGGCCTCACATGAATTAGCTGCTTTACGCAAACAGCTGTGGTATAGGAAACTGGAAGCAAGGAAAGCAAAATGGGATGAGTTGAGAATTGCCCGTGCTGAGCTAGAAGTCCTAATGTGGATTTCTAGAATGCCTGTGTTTGGGCACGAGACACCTTGAATGCCAGACAACGCAAGCATGCACTTTATACATACTTCGAAGCACTGAAGATAAGAGATGACATTATAGATCTGTATGGATATGTTCAGCCTGTAGGTCGGAGTACAGTTGTACAATTTTGGATTATTTAAAAAAGATTCTAAAATCACCAAGCTGTACAGCACATCATACATGGCTGATCCTCAGATGTTAACAACCTCAGAGTCATTAAAACCTAAATGCCTTCAAAGAGATCAGTGCTTGACCTTCTGGAGAATAATCTACATTTATTCAACGCTGGGACTCCGATGAAGAGAAGCTGCAGACATATTTCACTTCATAATTGGCTCGCTGAATCATGCATTGCATGCGTGTCCGAAAGCTTACCCATACTCATCTTGATCGGCAAATTTTCTCTACTTGCGGCTTCCACTAGGTGTCTCCGAATCTCCATCACAGCTTCTTTGTGCTTGAGATTCATTAAGGACTCCCACAGAGCTTTAGCAGCTGGATCGCTGTAAGGAAAAGAAGGGAAAAAGGCACTCAAGTTTTATACTAAACAACTGCTAAGAGTCAGCCTTCTTTAGCAACTTCTACGCTGTAGACAGCCTACTTACTTTCAAGCTCAGAAATAAAAGCCCAGTTTCTTTAAAAAAAACTGCTGTTGTGTCTTTAAACTGTAAGTCTCTAGGGGCTTCCAGGTAGTCAGCCGTTTTGGTCTGAAGCAGCAGAACAAATTTAGAGTCCAGTGGCACCTTTAAGACCAACAAAGGTTTATTCAAGGTATGAGCTTTCTTGTGCAAACTTATACCTTGAATAAACCTTTGTTGGTCTTAAAGGTGCCACTGGACTCTAAATTTGTTCTCTAGGGGCTTGTTACTTGACTTTGTCTAACAACTAGATATTTGGATTTAGCTGACACTGGCTTGTATCCAGCCACGCCATTCCAAAGACTTGAGGGCGCTTCCGTCTTCAGAAGAAGGGTGTGGCCATTTCAGCTGAGCCTCCCCCCCCACTTCATAGCCCCCCCCCAATTTTGCCCTATTGCTATTCTCGAGGATCCACTGAAGTCCCAGTCTGCAAGGCCTGCTCTGCAAGTGGATCCCATTAGATTCAAACCATTGCTAACAAAAAGTTATAACAAATTGCCAAGGCATTGTTTAAGCAAACAGTCAAAACTACGGAACACCACACGGCATCAATAAGGATCACAACTGCAGGCTGTTTCTTTATTTTTCTGGAACACTGAACTGGTCGGGGAGGGGTGTCAGTAGCTCTGCTTTTGTCCCCCAGTATATTTTCTCTTCTGCACTTTCTACAGCAAAATGGAGGTTGCACTGATAACATTACAGTATAAGAGCCAGTGTGGCAGGACACAAAGAGTTCGATTTATTTACTTTATTTATAGCCCACCTTTCTCACCGAGACGGAGACAGATTATGGAATATAAAAGCAATGCAATCAGATAGTTTAAGACAGGGCTAATTTTGGGCAGGAACACTCAGGAACGGAGTTCCGGCTGGCTCCTGAGTTGGCCACGCCCAGCAGGAACTCATTAGCATAATAGGCAACACCCAACAGCAGAAACGTATTAGGATTGGCTACATTAGGGGTGTGTGGCCTAACATGCAAAGGAGTTCCTGCTACAAAAAAACCTCTGGGTTTTGACAACAAACAAGGTAAACAGAATAAGAAGCAAAAGGTGGGTGTGGCTGGATGACCACACTTCTGGTAACATGGGGGTGCGGCCTAATGTGCTAATGAGCTGTACTGTCAGGGGTGTGACCTAATATGCTAATGAGTTTCTGCTGTTGGGTGTGGCCTATTATGCTAATGAGTTCCTGCTGGGCTTTTTCTACAAAAAGAGCCCTGGCTCAAGATATTCAATGAACAGTGCGATAGGACTGCAGAATTAGAAAACATTGCAAACAAACTGTCCAAGGTAAAATATGTCATAAATCATTTAAAGAGTGGACTACAAAGGTAGAAAACCATACTGTAAAAGCAGGATGTCTGCAAAAGAACAACACCACCAAGACCCTGGGGAAACCTGGTTCATATTCCCACAATCCTGTGAAACTCACTTAGTGACCTTGGGCCAGTTGCCATCTCGCAGATGAAACTAGGGCTACCAACTCTGTGTATGGAAATTCCAGGAGATTCGGGCGGAGGGAGCCTGAAGAGGGCAGAGTCTGGGGAAGGGAAAGACCTCAGTGAGCTATACTGCCACAGAGTCCACCCTCCAACGCAGCCATTTTCTTCAAGGGAACTGATCTCTGTCTTCTGGAGAGTTGTTGTGTGGATTAAAAGAGACTGAACCCCATGTTCATTGCCCTAAGGCAAGAAGGCAGGATCCAAATGTGACAAAAATTAATAAAGGATTTTAACTTCCGAAGTAAATTTATCAGGGGGCGATTTCGCACTAGAGCTGCCTCGCGGCGCAGCCACCATTTGCCCCGACACAAATATGCCAATTTCACACCCGAAGCTGCGGGGCTGCATTTTGACTCGCGGCTTTGCCCGATTTCCTCCGCAGTTTCGTGATCCTGGTTTTTGAGGATCACAAAACTGCGGAGGAAATCGGGCAATGCCGCGGGTCAAATGCAGCCCTGCAGCCCCGGGTGTGAAATTGACAAATAGTGTCGGGGCAAACGACGGCTGCGCCGCGAGGCAGCTCTAGTGCGAAATCGCCCAGGGTTAAAGATGTGACAGACTAGTTACCACAAAGGTCTAAAAAGGTACCAACCAAGACATACTGCCCCAGTCCAGAGACAGCAATGCACAGTATTAAAGCTGCATACAAAGATATTTGTATACATGGTTGCTAGAACAGACAGTCAGCACAGTTAGGGTCTGTTAAAGCTGTCATCTTCGTTGGGCTGTGTGTGTATTCAGCCTCCAAGACACAGATGGAGATAATT